TAGTAAAGGGAGACGTTGGCTGATCCCGAGTTCCCCGGCGTGAGCGAGACCCCGAGTTGGATCAGGTTCTCGAGGGGATTGACGACGGCAAAGAGGAACATCGGCTCCGCGGTGTCGGGCTTCACGGCAACGAGGATCTGGGAGAGTTAGAGAGAGAGAGAAGGTGGTGGTTAGTTCGTGTGGGAGAGGGAGAGGGAGAGAGTGATGATGGTGGGGGAGAGAGAAGGTGGTGGTTAGTTCGTGTGGGTGGGAGAGGGAGAGTGATGGAGGAGGGGGAGAGAGGTGGAGAGGCGGAGGAGGTGGAGGGGGGAGAGAGAGAGAGAGAGAAGGTGGTGGTTAGTTCGGATGGGTGGAAGAGGGAGAGAGGTGGAGAGGCGGAGGAGCGGGGGAGAGAGAGAGAGAGAGAGAAGGTGGTGGTTAGTTCGTGTGGGTGGGAGAAGGAGAGTGATGATGGTGGAGGGATAGGAGAGGATCTGGGAGAGGCGGAGGCGGAGGAGGGAGAGAGAGAGAGAAGGTGGTGGTTAGTTCGATGGGTGGAAGAGGGAGAGGGAGAAGTGATGATAGGGGGGGGAGAGAGGTGGAGAGGCGGAGGAGGGGGAGAGAGGGAGAGAGAAGGAGGTGGTTAGTTCGTGTGGGTGGGAGAGGGAGAGGGAGAGTGATGATGGTGGAGGGATAGGAGGGATCTGGGAAGGCGGAGGCGGAGGAGGGAGAGAGAGAAAAGGTGGTGGTTAGTTCGTGTGGGTGGGAGAGGGAGAGTGATGATAGGGGGGGAGAGAGGTGGAGAGGCAGAGGCGGAGGAGCGGGAGAGAGAGAGAGAAGGTGGTGGTTAGTTCGTGTGGATGGGAGAGGGAGAGTGATGGTGGTGGAGGGATAGGAGAGGATCTGGGAGAGGCAGAGGAAGGGGGAGAGAGAGAGAGAAGGTGGTGGTTAGTTCGTGTGGGTGGGAGAGGGAGAGTGATGATAGGGGGGGAGAGAGGTGGAGAGGCAGAGGCGGAGGAGCGGGAGAGAGGGAGAGAGAGGTGGTGGTTAGTTCGTGTGGGTGGGAGAAGGAGAGTGATGATGGGGGGGGGGGGTAGGAGAGGATCTGGGAGAGGCAGAGGCGGAGGAGGGGGAGAGAGAGAGAGAGGAGGTGGTGTTAGTTCGTGTGGGTGGAGGGGAGAGGGAGAGAGAGTGATGGTGGAGGGATAGGAGAGGATCTGGGAGAGGCAGAGGAGGAAGAGAGAAGGTGGTGGTTAGTTCGTGTGGGTGGGAGAGGGGGGGAGTGATGATGGTGGAGGATAGGAGAGGATCTGGGAGAGCAGAGGAGGGGGAGAGAGAGAGAGAGAGAGAAGGTGGTGGTTAGTTCGTGTGGGTAGGAGGAGGGAGAGTGATGATGGTGGAGGGAGAGAGGAGGTGGAGGTGGGGAAAAGGAGAATGATAATAATAAGATAGGAGGGAAGAAGAGGAGGAGAAAAGGAGAGTGATGATGATAGGCACAGGAAGATGAAGAAGAGATAGAGGAATAAGAAGATAAAAAAGAAAAATAGAGTAGGAGGAGGAGAAGAGAAAGAAAGGAACAAGAAGAGGTGAAGGGAAAATAAGGAAAAATATATAGTGAGATATGTAGATAGATAAATAGACAAACAGACTGATAGATTGACTGACAGATAGACAGACAGACTGATAGATATAAATAGAAAGACAGACACATAGATATAAATATACAAAAAGACGGACAGATATAAATATAAAAAAAGACAGATAGACATAAACCAATATACATATACTCTATACAAACACGTATCCACATACCCCACAACATAAACATAACATACACAATGCAAGCGCACAAACCTACCGCACATTTGCACATCCTTACCAACACACACCCATTCCCCTCACATATATATCTGGACGGAAGCGGCAGGCCCCGTCCCGCAACAGCGAAACAGCCGCATAAAAAGACCCAATTCAAATTTCCCGCTTTCTATGATATCTTCAAACGACCCGATTCAAAATTCCCGCTTTCTATGACCCGTTTTCTATGATCTCTTCCAAAGACCCGCTCAAACGACCTGATTCAAAATTCCAGCGTTTTATGACCCGTTTTCTATGATTAAAAGACCCGCTTCAAAATTCACGTTTTCTATGATCTATTCAAAAGAACCGCTTCAAAATTCCCGTTTTCTATGATATCTTTGCCCGTTTTCTATGACCCGTTTTCTATGACCCGTTTTCTATGATATCTTTGCCCGTTTTCTATGACCCGTTTTCTATGATATCTTTGCCCGTTTTCTATGACCTCTATGCTGTTCTCTTTCGATACATTCAAAATAACATGAGTATATGGAAAATTTATGTGTGTAGGTTATTTGTTTCTCCCTCAAAATAAAAAAAATGTGGATTCGCAGCAATCAATTTGTATTATGGGGTTTAAAGTGAATGACAATAACAAAGGTTTTTTTGTTGTTGTATTATTTTTTCTTTATTTTTAAGTGTTTTGATTTTTTAAGAATCAGTGGAAACGTGTTGTTTTTTCTGTTTTTGTCTGTCGTGTCTGTCTGTCTCTCTGTATTTTTTTCTATCATCATCTCCCTCTTCCTCCTCTTTCTCCCCCATCAGTCTGCCCTTTTCCCTTTCCTTTTCTATCTTCCCTCATCTCCTTCCCTTTCCTCACACCTCCTTCCCCTCCTCCTCCTCTTCCTCCAACCTTCCTTCTATTTCTCTCCTCCTACTTCCTACCTCCCCTCTCCCTCCTACCTCCTCTCCCCTCTCCCGTCTCTTTATCTCCTCTCTCTCACACCCACTTCTTTAAGCATATTTTTATTATTATCATTATCCTTTA